CTCTGCCCTGTCTTAAAACACTGTATGACTTTGTTTTCTGCTTTATAACATGTCCATGTTGGTTCTAGTATTAAATTTTTTAAATGTATTTATTGCTGAAATTACTTGTCACCCTGGCAAGGTGCGTGGTGACAGTCCCCTGGCATACCACTTTACCAGCTTCCCCCCACCCCGGAAATCTCACCTGACATGTTGAATAGTTTTTCCCAGAACCACTATTAGAGGGGCTCCTAGCCCAGGATCCAAGAAACCCACACAACCATATGTGAAATTGTGCATAAGGGCATTTTCTGGGAGGAAGTATGGCTCTGTCATCAGATTCTCCAGGGGAACCACAGTCCTGGGAGTTTTATCTGTGGCCGCTAGGCTGTGCTTTGCAGTCTCAGCCGTGTGCTGCCACGGTGCTGCTGCTGCCCAGGCAATAATCCATTTGCAGAGACACCCTAGGGCCAGCAACACCTCCCCTACCAAGGCTGCCCAGATTCAGCTGATTCGAGGAAAAACTGAATGTCCCTAACAGTGGAGTTTTGGTCCTTTCCGTGCAGGAGAGCTGACCACACCAGGATGAAGTCCTCCGTACCCCTCCTCGGAACCAGAAGCCCCACGTTTGAGGGGATAGCGCCTCCCACTCTGCATTCAAATGACAGGGGCACAGCCTTCTCCTTAAGGCCATCCACGGCCTGTCAGGACGGGCAGGTCTACGACAATGGCTGAGGCGGGGGCCGGCTGGCTCTCCCGACTCGGACCTTTGCTCTGGGCAGCAGCTGTGGCAGCCGGGAGCGTGTGGTGCTGGCCGCCCGTCTGCAGCGCCCTGAGCCTCGCAGACCTGCCCACCTCACCAGCGGCCAGGCCAGATGGCTCCCTGGCTGCTGCAGTGGGCAATGCAGCGATTTGGACGGAGGCTGCCTGGGATGGGCAATGGCACAGCCCCTCTCGCTGGGCTCCGGCCTGTGCCATGTGGGTGCCAGCCTGCTCTCTGCCTCTGATGGTGGGCAAGGGCTTCCAGGCAGAAGCTCTGTGCCGGGGACCTTTTCATCCCCTAGGAAGGGAGGGCAGGCTCCCCCCCCGCCCCACCACCGTATCTCCTGTCCCCTCGCCCGGTGCTAGCACTAATGCAGCCGCCTCGTTTCTCTAAGATGGAGGCGGCCATAAACTGCTTCTCGGCACATCCTCCAGCCTTACTGCTGCCCCTTGGACCACTCCTGGGGTAAAGACCAGAAACCTAGCCCCTTGCTGACTTGGTCAACATACAGATGAGAAGGAAGAGCAGCCGCTGTGTGCCCGTCAGAGTCCTCAGTCCTGCTGGGGCCAAGTTCATCCACTACCGAATCCCTGTGGCACTTGTTCACTGATTCCAGAAGAACCTGGAGACAAAGGCAACACTGACGCCCTGGGAAGTCATGGTGAAAACCCCGGCCCCTCCCACGCAACTCTCCAAGGCCTTCCCAAGGTCACTGTGTGGGAGGACAGCTTGCAAAGCAGGTGTTTGCAGAACCCTTGCCAAGGCAACTTGTATCTTTAACTCTCCATCAGCCTGCGTAAGTCACTGTGCCGCCTGCAGTTCAGCTCCGGCCTGGTGAACCACAGGCAGTGGAGACAGGTTCAACTGCTCAGGGACAAGGGTCCGATCCATACATGACGCACATCGAGAACTTGCCAGTGCCTGGGATCAGAAAAACATGGAATGGTTTTGTTAAAGTCTAGCAGTAATTCGTTCCCTCAGAGGATGCTTGGCCAAAATTGGAAGCTGTTGTCATCTTACTGCATTCCCTTATCCATAATTCATGTTTAACGTGGCTGCAGAAGCTCTCCCCTGAGCTTCTCATAGTAGATTTCCATTACACAGCCCTTTTGTAAACCTACCAAATTGGCGTGTTTGTGTCAAACTGCCGTATTCTTTTAACGGCGAAAAGCCCAGTTCTGGTAACTTTTCCCCTTGGTAATATGCTTTCAACCCAATTCCTGGGAAATGGGTGGAGAACATGGAGAGAGGTGACCTCACCCTCATCCCGCAGGCTGCAGACACTGTCCCTGCTCCCCGTGTCCTCCACCCACACACACAGCCTGAGGCCCTCAAAGCACTGACTTCAGCTATTTGACTTAGCACTGATTAGTCACAGGGGTATAATTCCTAATAAAAGGAAAACCGGGGCTTCCCTGGTGGCACAGTGGTTGAGAGCCCGCCTGCCAAGGCAGGGGACACGGGTTCGTGTCCTGGTCCGGGAAGATCCCACATACCGTGGAGCGGCTGGGCCCGTGAGCCATGGCCGCTGAGCCTGCGCATCCGGAGCCTGTGCTCTGCAACGGGAGAGGCCGCAACAGTGAGAGGCCCGCATACCGCAAAAAAAAAAAAAAAGCTGTAAAACAAGTGCATTTGTTAATTTCTCAACTTTTAGAACAAACATCACCTGCTTCAGGCTGCTTCAGATGGGGGGAGGGTGCTACACTCCCTCAGGGTCTCTGCAGCCAGAAAGCCCCTCCTGGGCACGCCCACCAGTCCAGCCGGTAAGGGGCCGTTTCCGAGCTTCCAGCCTCCAGCCTCTGCAGACCGCACTGCCCAGACAGCCGTCCTGAGATGCGTACCCAGAGCAGTGACCCTCGTTCTTTCTCATCAAAGGCCAGCAGACTGTGGGGAATAACCACCCTTCCTAGGAGCAGGTGCGCACCAACTAATACCTGACCCCATCACTCCCGAAACCACCAAATGAGTGAAAACACGTCATGCACACAGTGCCCTGGGAGCCGGCGGGGGAGCCCCAGGCGGACTCTGGCACGCCCTCTGGTGGAAATGAGCCCCAACTCTGCCGATTAGATGACATCCTCAGTGACGGTGAACAAACAGCTTGGTTTTCAGCAGTATGGACTGGGCTCAGGCTGAATAAATCTCATTTTAATTAGTTTAGGTAAGCGGAGGCTCAAAGCTTCAAAGACATGAGGCCAGCCCTCGGTGGTCTGAACAAGGGCAAACACTTGCCTGTGCCCACAGTGGCCATGTCTCCCAAACGCAGGCTCTGCAGGGGGGCTGATGGAAGATCTGTTATTTATAAAAACACTTTACATTAATGAACTGCCTTTGTTGAGAAGATAATGGAAGCAAATTGGGAGAATCCCAGAAAATCCAGCCTACGGAGCAGTCCGTGCTGCTCTGTAACTCCACGGGTCCCAGGCAGTAGTGCGGGGCAGGGGAGGGCACGGGGACGCACGCTTCTGCCAGGCTGCAGGGGTCTCACTGGAGACCCATCCTGGACGATAGCTAACTAGCACCTAAATAGGACCAGATCTCTCCATACCAGTCCTTTCTAGATTTCTTCTGTGGGCAGCCAGGCACCCAGGGGTGTGAGCAACTGATCCCAGCAGCAGGAGAAGGGGGGGAGTGGGGAGGGCGATCACATCCCTCTTTCCCACCCCATTGCCAGCACCTGGAGGGTAAGAAGCACAGCCTTGGCCCTGACCTACTGCTTTGAAAATGTCAAAATATTTGTGGAATTAAGCACAAGTCTAAATAAGAAGCAGATTCTACTGTGTAGCACAGGGAACTACATCCAATCTCCTGGGATAAATCATAATGGAAAATATTAAAAAAGGAATATATATATATATATAACTGAGTCACTTTGCTGTACAGCAGAAATTAGCACAACATTGTAAATACAACTATACTTCGATTTAAAAAATAAAAATTTTTAAGAAGTTAAAAAAAGCAGAGCTCTGGAAGTGACTTCAGACCGCTCTCTACTTACCAGAGATGGGGCCGCGCTGCCCCTGGCCGCCTGTCAGGCGCATCATGGAGGCTGGCGTTCCTCAGGCATGGCTGGGGTCGGAGGCCCAGCCTGGTCCACCACAGGCTCACTAGGGCGGGATGCCCGCGCCAGCTCTGTTTAAATGATGAGGGTTTCTCAGCTCCACTGCCGCCCTTGGGACGCCTGCTGGCTTTTAAAAACTGACGTTAATCCCGTCCTAAGCAACGTGTGCACAACACAGCTGGGGGGTGGGGGCGGATGTCAGAGGAAGGACCATCATGACTGCCTCAGGGAAGGGAAGACCAGGCGCTGGGCATCGGATGAAGACTCCAGGGGGTGCCTGTTACATTCTGAACCCCACACCATGTGGGTATAAGATAGATAAAGCACACTTAATATCAAAGCTGAATTACAAATTCAAGAATGCAAATAATAGCAATAGCTAATTATCAGGGGAACAATTATCAGGGGAACTTTTCTGGAAGGCTAGGAAGGTGCCTCCCAGCGAGTGTTGATGAAAGCAACGAGCCTGGAATGTCAACAGTGACCAGTGACCACGGTGATGGCAGCTCTCCCGAGTGAGTCAGCAGGTCACCAGGGCACCACCGACTGCCAGCCCTCTGCTGACTCATGGGCTACTGCCACCAACCGAGATGAATGACCTTTGTTTCTTCCTCCCCTCAAACCCCACTGCTGGAAGGTGACAACCGGAGTTGTGGGAGATGCTACCTGGGGCAGTCACCTCCCCTGCTGCTGCTGCATCGGAGACAGTGGAGTCTAGACCATGCAGCTGGCCCCCATCCTGAGGAAGGGCCACAGGGCACACCCAGCCTGTTCCCGCCAGGCCCGGACCGCTGGCGGCCCCAGCACCGTGGGGCGAGCTCGGGCGCTCACTGCAGCTGGCCCAGGCTCAGCTCCACTTGTCTCCTCCTTGGGTCTGAATATCCGGTTGTGGCGCCAAGGCAGCCCCCCCCCCGCCGCCCCCCCAAGTCCTGGCCCCCATGGAGTGAGGAGCTGCTTCTCCTTACTTTCCTGCCTAGGCTTGCGAAGGCAGGTGAATTCCCAGCACTCATGCGGGGAAAACAGCAAATATTTAACCCACAATAAACCAGAAAGGAAGGGAAAAATAAATCCGCTTGCAAACCAGCATCTGAAGACTTGCTGCTGCGGCTTGCCCCTCGCTCCTCATATAGTCAGCCAGCCTCGGGCGCCAAACGGCCAGGCCACGTGCATGGACGTGGGGAACAGACAGGAGCCAGGTTCATTAACAAACCCTTTTTCTATTTTATTGGAGATAAAAACAGCAAAGCCCCATGTACCATACCCTGCGGGAAAAAGAGATGAGCGAGGGATGTTGACTATTTACAAGAGCTGTAGCAAAAGGGCCCCCGTGGGCCTCGCTGCCTGGGTCCAAGTGCGGGTTATCCATGGGGGAGGGGCTGTCAGTGGCACAGGGCGATGGTTTCCATGTTAAGGAAGCGGACGTGCATCTTTGTCTCGATGTCTATCCCCTGCCAGATCTGGAACAGACGGAGCAGTGTGAGCGGGCATCCCCACCGGAGTCCTCGGCCACCTTCCCAGCCGCCCTCCTCCGCCACCCACTGAGAAGCTCCCGCAGGTGGAATCCAGTGCGAAGCGTGGAAGAGAAACTTCCATCTGCCTTTTTGCTGGTTAATTGGGCTCTGACATTTGGATTCTTTATGGATTGTCACAGCAAGTTATTATTAAGTACTGAATCCAAGCTCTTAGCTGAAGTCACTTGAATCCCACCCACCACTTCAGGCTCTATGATTTTCATGCAAATTCCTTAAGCCCACTAAACCTCCTTTCCACCAGAAAAATGTCAAGACCACCACCTGTGCTGCCCGTTCACGGAATGTTTTGGGGGCTCCAGGGGAATCATGCACGGAAGCGGTTTATAAACTGTTAAGGGCTGTGCAATTATAAGGTTTCATTAAGCCATCATTATAAATTAAAAGGTCACAACAGTTAGGTCTTCACAACCTCCCAGGGATAGGAGGTCACCATGTTCCAGACAGACAAGGCTCATGCCCAGGAAAGGTAATTTCTGCCAAAGCCCACATCCATCACCACATACCTGCTACTGGCACTGCCATCATGGTCCATCCTGGCTAGGGCCCTAGCGGACACTCAGGCCACCAGACCCTGTATCTGCCACACTAGGAAGCCCCAGCGCGCGCAGGACTGTGCGCCCGCCAGCTCCTTGGCCACTCGGGGCCCAGGAGGACCACAGATGGAGAGATGGCGGGCAGGATGCAAACAGGAACGGAGGGACGTGGTGGGCAGTGACTTGTCACTGTCTCCCTGCTTATGTAAGAACTTCAAACTCTCAAGCTGTCGCCCTCAACATCTCCAGGGACAGCCTTGAGGCTGGGGAAAGCAGAGCCCTGTGGGCACCCAAGTGGCAGGGAGGCCTCACACATTTCCTGCCACTGTCACATGCCTACGGTCCGCCAGGTGCTTTCCTTGTTAGGTGAACAAGATGTTCCCAGGAGAAGATAACTGGATGCCAGGGTGGGTGGTTTCTGCCAAAGGCCGGGTGATGCCAGGTGTCAAGAGGCTAGTGGTAGGGCTCAGAGAATGGGATGGGCCGGCTGGTCATGAAAAACTCCCACGGTGCAGAGGCAATGGCCTTGGGAACACTAGAGGCGGGGCAGCAGCGGGGGCGGCCTTCTGGGGAAGAAGCTTGGTTTCTGAGGCCAAAATTGGATTTCAACCTATCTTCTGGCTTAAAGCAGCCATCCCTCCTCCCTAACGTTCCCTGGCCTCCCTGATCTTCTAACTCCTTATTCTGGTTCTTGCTTGGGTGTCATCACTTTTCTGGAGCGCAGACCTCAGAACAAGCCAAGGTGGCCTGTGGCACCAACGGCAACTCAGCCTCTCCCAGTCTGCCTGCCCTGCCCAGCCCTGGGGGCGGCGGGGGGGTGGGGCGCCTGTCCTCCAGTAGGCCCTTCAGGTCTCTCCCTCAGGCCCAGGTCTGTGCCCCCCGCCCCCTTCCTCTTGCCATGACTGGCCAGGTTGGCGGCGCAGACTTTGGGGGAGCGCCCAGCCCCTCAGCTCACCAGAGTCCCCGGCCCCAGCCCAGGGACAGGCCTGTTTCCCTCGGGGCCGCCCGGAGAGTTGGCGGTCGGCCAGGGGGCCACCCTGGGTATCGTCCCCCTGACTTCCCATCTTCCTCGCCTCCTGGAAGGGGCTCGGGGACACCGCTATTGGGATGCTCAGGGCCAAAGCACAGGCAGAGCACGGGGGACTCGACTCCTTGCCACAGGGATCTGCCTGTCAGAGCAGCAAGGGGCCCCAGTTCCCAGCCTGCGAGCAGGTTTGTAGCAGTGAAGGCTGGGGGAGGCCTGAATGTCCACTAACAAGGGTGGAAGGTGGGAAGCCAGACAAGCAGCATGGGCTGCGAGCCCCAGGGCAGAAGCACACGCGGTCAACACCAGTGTGTGCTTCTGTGAAGGGCAGGTCTCCGTACAGGCACAGAACATTCCAGAACCCTGGCTCCAACTGTCAACAGGGTGCTTCTGAGGCGGGGGGGAGAAAAATGGAGTTTTCCTCACAGGCCCTTTTGCACTTGCTTAGTTGTTCTGACCGTGTATATCTATCATCACCCTTCCAATAAAAATAAGTAAAACCAGTTTAAACTATTTTAAAGGCCACACCCAGGCTTGACCCTTTTCCACAGAGACGCCCATCTCCTGACCAGCAGGGGTCCCCTCAAGCCCCCAGCACAGCCCCCGTGCCCACCCCCACCCCCAGGTACCCACCTTCAGGAAGTCATCGAAAGTGATGCCCTCGTACACCTGATCAGGCTCCTGGGGACAGAGCACAGGGTGCAGTGAGAGGTTTCTGCCTGTAGACTCTCCATCTTCCCCCCACCCTGCAACACAGAAGGCTGGGGCCATTTAGGTAGAATCATGAGAATGGGGAGAACATTCTGGATTGTTCGCCTCCAGCTCGAGGCTGGTCGCCCTGAACTCCGGCGTCTCCTTCACTGGCTGGATGGTGGGACGGAAGGTGGTGCAGGCTCACCAGGGCCACCCACCATGCCCCCCAGGGAGGACAGGTCAGAAAAGGGTGGGAAAGGAAGAGGGTGGGCACAGAGGCAGGGCTCGCTCCACCCGGCACAGCCGCCTCCCGCCACTTCCCAACAGTACGGCCACCAGCAGACACCTCCTGCCATTTCTTGGTCCTGCCTCCTCAAACCAGCCTTGGTAAGACCAGTTCTGGGCCGACCTGCACTCCAGACACTGGGGAAAGGGCCAAGTGAGTCACCCTGATAACATCTGGCCCAGGAGCCTCCCACCTGCCAAGTCACTGGCAGTGCCAGTCTCTGCACACACACGAGATGATAAATGGGGCTCCTGCCCATGGTGCTAAGACCAAGTCCCCCCGGCGCCCTCTGTGACAGTGAAAGCTGGGCTGACACCCCACTGCCCGTCAATACAACACCAGCCAAATAAATCGTGGTCGCCCTGGCTATTGGTTACCACGAAGAAGGGGTCGATCTAGACCTGCTGATATGGAAAAGGCTCCAAGATACATACACGGGGGAAAACAACAAACAAGGAGCAGAAAGATGGCTGCAGATTCTGTCCTACATCACTAAGCAGACGGCTGCCACCTGCTCCGTGGACCTGTGGGGTCAGCACGGGGGAGAGCGAGCCGCGGCAGTTCAGCGCCACTTTGTGTGAGTCAGAACCGAAAGACACACGTGTACACGTCGGTCTGTGTCAGGAATAACACCATCAAGGGCAGTTCCCTTTAGGGAAAAGGACCAGGGCCGATGGAAGGAGGGCCAAGAAAGACACACTTCTCTTTCTGTACCGCTCGGAAATTTGTTCCTACGTGTATTTAAGAAAACATCGGCAGGTGCTCTCTGAGCGTTTGCTGTGTGTACTTTACAAACGTTATTACCATGAACTGATGCAAACCTCACAACAGCTCCCAGAGGTGGGTTCTGTTCTTAATCTAATTTTGGATATACTTTTTTTTTTTTTTTGGATGTGGACCATTTTTAAAGTCTTTTTTTTATTTGTTTCAACACTCCTTTTCTTTTGTTTTTTGTTTTTTTGGCCGAGAGGCATGTGGGATCTTAGCTCCCCCAGCAGGGATCTAACCTGCACCCCCTGCACTGGAAGGCGAGGTCTTAACCACTGGACCGCCAGGGGAGTCCCCTGGATATACTTTTTAATTTTATGAAAAACACCAATTATTTTAGAAGGCCTGGGCCAGCCCTGTCCCTAGGGCTGTCCGCTCTTCCTGCCCAGGGGCACAGACAGAAGTGGTCGCCCACTCCCTGCCAGAGACTCTGGATTCCTAGGGCAGCGAGGGGAGCTAATTACAGATAAGGTCCCCCCGGCCCAAGACCCGGGCTGGAGGGCGGGCACCGGGTGGAGGGGCTGCAGGGTCAGGGCAGCGCCCTAGGCTGAGACCCCAGCACAGCTGCCCCAGCCTCCAGCCACAACAAGGCTTTCCAGGGAAACACCCTGGAAAGAGCTCACTGCCGCAGTCGACAGCCGGCTTCGGAGGTCCGTTACAGTGGGGCGATGCGTCATTTGTCTTTGGTGAGAGGTGCAGGCAGAAATGTTAAGCGTCCTCAGGGGCCACAGGGTGTGAACTGACTCGGCCACCCCTCACCCTGCGCCTCTGTGTGTATCTGGTCGACAATCACACAAGAAAACCCTCTAAGAGCACACAGAGGATCCGTACATAAAGAAAGATGCACACGGTGAGCGGGATGCGCACCCGGGAAGCCGGCACGGACTCCCGGAAAGCCCCGGCTTCTAAGGCTGTGCAGCTTTTATGCAGATCAGCAGCTGCCAGCAATTTACTACAGCAAATTAAGAAAACTGTCGCCAGTTGAAACTGGAGTGGGACGGGGAGCAATTTAATGAAGGAGAGTGTCATTAAATCAAATGGGAATCTGGCTCGGGCAGCCCGGCAGGGGAATCCCCGCGCTCCCCACCTAGGTCACCGGCCTTTTCCGCGGCAGTTAACTGTCTGAGTGGGGTGGCTTCGCCAAAGCCAGAAGCCTCTCCCTGGGTCCCCGAAGCAGACAAATGAAATACAGGCTGAGAAAGTGACCTCAGCCCCCTGCCCGCCATCTCCTGATGACAGGCCTGGGCACAGACAGCAGGTTTCAGCAGGAAAACACCCCTCCATCTGGGCTGGGGTCACCCCCAAGCCATGATGGTGTCTGGGGCTGCAGCCACTATAAATACACAGGAGCCAAAGGGGACGGCCCCAGGGGGACCACCCGAAACCCTCAGGGAACAAAATCCATGGAGATGGTCACGTGCCTGCCCGCACGAGCCCCTGCGTCAGGGGCTGTCTGGAGTGGACCTGGCCCTGCAAGAGCGAGTCCACCGAGTGCAGCAAAAAGGTCACTGCCCCCAAAGTCCAGAAAATTCTTTATGTCCCCACCAGTGAAGCAAGGTTACAAATCTATGAAGTGATGCACGTGAAGAAGCCAGCACGGTGCCTGCACACGCTGTGTGGTCACCCTCCAGGTGACCCTGGGGGCACCTGGCTGCCTGGAGCCTCCAGGGGGCACCTGCCAGAGTCCGTGCCTCCCCACCCTGACGACGGCACCATCAGAGCACATAAAAGCCGGCAGTGACCGCTCATACGACGTGCCAGTTACCACTGCCCTGACCATTCGCTCCTGTGCCCCTCTGCGCCAACGGTTCTGCACTGGGGGGTGACTTCGCCCCCCACCCCAGGGACGGTGGGCCGTGTCTGGAGACATGTTGGTTGTCATGACTTGGAGGGTGACTGGCATCTAGTGGGTGGAAGCCAGGGAGGCTGCTCAAGCCCCTGCAACCCCAGGACAACCCCACGTGTCAACAAGGCCGGGCGGAGAAACCCTGCTCTAACCCACCGACATCACTGGAGGCCCGACAGCATGGTTCCAAGAAATGATCCAGCCACTTCTACGCCAGTGGGACCCTGACAAGCCTCAGCTGTGTCCCATCTCCTGATCACGTGGTCCCACCCGCCTTCCTCCCCATCAGAGCTCGAGCCCGGCCCTCCGCCTGGGCCATCGTAGCAGTCTTGCAAGTGCCTCTGGTAGAATCCTCTCTTGTCTCTGTCAGCACGGAGCCTCCCACCCATCAGCACACAAGCCCTGATGGCCCAGCCCCTCTCCTGTCTCATCTACACGTCACCCCCCCCGCTGCTCCCAGCTCCTCGCTGGACCCCAGACTGTGGGCCCTCAAGAGAGCTCCCTGCTGACCCCTGCCCTCCAGGCCACAAATCCCCTCATTAATAATTAAATGAGAGCAAGCCCGGGCTGTGCGCCAACCGGGCCTGGCACTGTGCCAGGCACTGCCTGTGGGCCCGAGGAAGCTACGTAGTGGGGTCTACGGCCCCCAAAGCCCAGACTCCCCTGCTTGGCCTGACCCCCCAGGGGTTGGGACATGGGGCCGGTGTCTTGGGGGACAGGAACGCAGCGAGAAGCCTGTGAGCAGTGGTCTGCGTCAGGCCCGGTTAGAGCGGCGAGCAGGTCACGCACAGTCTCTGCCCGCTGGGGCCTTCCACAAACACAGACTAGTACCAGGGCACGGCACGGCGGGGTCAGCAGGGGCGGGGAGGGATCTGGGGGTCCGGCCCCAGCAGCTCTCACCATCCGCCCCACGCAGACGCTGGCCGCCTCCATCATGGCCCCGTCGGCAATGGAGCGCGCAGATTCCTTCTCGATGTGGGGGTTTCCGGAGAGCAGCTCCTCGACCACCTGCCGGTGGAGCAGAGACGCCGTGAACTTGGGCCTCCATCCCGGCCGCAGGGCAGGGGAGGCGCTGGGGCCCGCCGGCGCGGGAGCATACTTTACATTTCGATACTCTTCCAGGGTGATGCGGCCGTCGCTGTCTGAGTCATACATGTGGAACAGAACTGGGGGGTGGCAGGGGGAGAGTGGCTGAGTCAGGCAAGGCGGAGGGGAGCCCGGGTCGCCCCGCCCCCCAACCTTCCCCTACCTCAAACTGAGCAAAAGACCCCAGTAACGGAAACCTGCCAAAGCCATAGAGGGCGAGGGCAAGGGCAAAGGCCATGGGGCCAGACCGACCACTTCCTGGTGGGTGACCTTGGGCAAGTGACCTAACTTTTCTGAGCCTCAGCTTCCCCATCTGTAAAATGGGAGTAACCACACATCTGCCTCATGGTGTTGCCAGGTGAGCTAAGGCTGGTGGACCAGGGCCAGCGACCGCCTGGCACACTGTGAGTGATGATGTGACAGTCTCATTAACAGGAAGCCAGCTCAGCGTTATTTCAAAGTGTCATTCCTGACAGACCCAAGAGGGCGGCTGTCATCCCAGGCCTGTGGCAGATCATGGACCCGGCTGCCTACATCCTGCCCCTGGCTGATCTGAGCCGGCCCCTGATGGTACAAGGGGCATTCACACCTGCTCCGGTTATTTCACTCTTAGTGACATCACTCAGCATCCCGCAGCCCAACAGAGCCAGGAGCTAAAGGGGAGGTGACGTCTCTGCCCCCTAGCTCAGCCTCAGAATCACAAAGTCCTCGGTCCTGGCATTTATCCAGCCCGACGCTGTGCAAACATCTCTTCCTCTCATCCTCACATGACCCCGTGAGGCCAGGGCTGCCCTGAGCCCATTTCACAGACTAGGCTGCCAAGCTCACAGAAGCTAAGGCATTTGCCCACAGCCACCCCATTAAGGGAGGGGCAGCCGGGGTTTGAACCAGAGTCCGTCCCATCCCACAGCCCTCACACCCCTTGACCTGGTCCTTGGAACAGTGTGGAAGCCGGGCGGACACCAGGCATCACCGCCCTGCCTCCAACAACCCTCAGTACACATCCGGAGCTAAGTATAGCCCAAGCCCCGTGTTTACATGTCCCTGCGGACACTACTGCCTCGGGTGGGATGGAGAGGGATGCTGGAGGCGTGGGAAAGTGCACGGGGAAGGGAGGTGTGACGCAAGCCACCCTGGGACTCTGTGCCATCCCCCACCAAGGCCGATCCCAGCTAAACTTGCTCAGAGCCCAGGGCCAGCAGAGGCTCCTCCGGGACGGACAAGCCCCACAGAGGCCACCCCGTGAAACTGCGTACGGTGGCCAGTCATGGGCCAGGGGAGGGAAGAAAGGAACTTTCAGGAAGCACCCGAGATCCCACCCAGCCTCAGAATCACCCTTATGCTCAGTCCTCATCCCCACCGTCAGGTTCAGGGTCACACAGCTGCTTAGTGAAGGGGCTGGACTGAACCAGGTCTGTCCAAACCAAGGGCCTTAACCTTTTCCAATCACTGACACCTCCTTCTGTTCCCAGAAAACCACCAGCTGCTGAGAAGTGCCAACAAGGAGGCTGCCACGCAACAGCCTCGGAGGAGAGGGAGGTGCAAACCCCACCCTTTGTGTGTGAAAATCGGGACCAACCTCCCCAAGGCTGGTGCAACCTGACCCGACCCTCCCCAACCCCCCCTTGGGGGCGGCCAGGTGCGCACCGGGGAGGGGCCCCAGGACACCCACATCTTAGCTTCTCTTTCCGGCACAGCTGCACCCGCTCCTCATCCATGGTGGTGTCGATAGGCCGGAAGTAGGACATGATGGTCAGAAAGTCCTCGAAGTTGATCTCGTCAGCCAGGCCGCTGGGCCCCTTGCGCAGGTTCCTACGGGAGCCACGAGGGGGTGTCGGAAATGCATTAAGAACAGAATCTTGTCCTTCTGCTACCAACAGCCCTCGAGAACCCGGCCCTTCTGTGCACACACTTCACCTACGATGGCTGTCCCAGCCTTGGGTTCTGTTTCCCAACAACCTGCTCGTGGGGGCCCCGGGCACCAGGGCAGTTCAGTCCAGCCCCTCCCCGGAGCCTCCCCCCGCCAGAAATCACCATCTGAGGGCCTGGGGGGAGACACGGGCAACTGCACAGCTGCTGGGATGGAGGGCTTCCCGGGCATGCTGTGGTGCACAGAGCTGGGCACTTAAACACGGGGAAAGTGAGGCAGTAATTCCCCCAGGTACATCTCCTGACCCTTACCTTTAGATCGGGGTCAGCGAACTGCTGCCTGGGGGCCAAATCCCACATGCTGCCTATTTTTATACAGCCCATAAACTAAGAAGGGTTTTAATATGGTTGAAAAAAATGCCGGGGAAAAAAAGAATAGCATCTCATGACAAGTGAAAACTCCATGAAATTCAAATTTCGGCGTCCATAAATAAATTTTTTTGGCACACGGCCAGGCCCATTGATTTGCATAGTATCCGTGGCTGCTTACAAGCTACAGAGGCAGAGTTGAGCAGCTGTGACAGAGACCATGTGGCCCGCAAAACCTAAAATATTTACTCTCTGGCCTTTTAGAGAAAGTTTGCCAATTCCTGCTATCAGCTGTTTAAAACTCCAGCACAACGATCAAAGCAGGCAGCTCTGAGTGACGTTTCCTACCAAAGTGCAAAACTCGCCGATGACGGCAGGTTTTCTGATAGATCATGGCACAGAGTCCCAGGGGGGCCTGCGTCACACCTCCCTTCCCCGTGCACTTTCCCACCACTCCAACATCCCTGTGGATGTGCTTTTCTGCAGGGGGCAAGAAAAGGGCTTGTGTTCCAGGCGGGGCTCAGGGAGCGAACCCAAGGCTGGGTCTGCCCTGTGCCTAGCACACGGTGGATACTCAGCAAATGCGTGAGTGCACTGAAAAGCCACTGGGTGAGGGTCCTGGCAGAGAAGAAGAGTTGAGAAAACAGCTTGGAGATGACGCCAACCAAACACAGGCTCCTGACCCACTGCTGCCAAACCCTCATCACTAACCGACTTCCGCTGGTGCAGGTGGCCATCGGGCCGATGGGCTGAGGGTTCCTCTGCCCTCACTGTGCATCCTTTCAAAGAGACAGTTCTCAGCTGGCCTGGGATAACAGTCAAGGGCTAGTGCTTGTCAAATGCATTTGGGTCCCACCTGCGGTTAGGACCATATCTCGGTTTAAAGGAATACATTCGAGGTTCTCTCTCTAGGGGCCCATCTACTCCTTTTCAAATACTGCCCCTGAAGTACCACACTTCACAGTTTAGAGATCTCGCTATTCCCAATCTTCCATGCCAGGACATCTTCCAGAAAGAGGTGGCTCCCAAGCCTGGAACAGGGAAGGTGGATCATGAAACAACAAATCTGAGAGGTAAGGCGAGATCTTCTGGACTCAGGAAGCCTAGTCTTTGAGTAAAAACTCTCAATCTTCCCGGAAATCTTCTCTTACAAAGTTTTTCCACTGCTACTCCAGGCAGATTTTTAATAATCTCAGAGTTCTTGCTGTCAGGGGGCACAGTCCAAATTTACAGGGCGTAAAAATAGCCCCAGGATGTATTGGGCTCCTCGGAGGTACTTTTCACTGTGTTTGGGTTGCACGTCCCTCTCAAGGGGTTCAGGCTGCAGCGAGAGGGATGACAATGAGCTCGGGGGACATGTGATCAACCCCGGGGCAGGCTGGCCACGAATGGGTCCTTCTTAGGGAAGGTCGAGACCTGGCTGCTTCAGCATCAGGACCTGATTCAGGGGCTAGGCATCCCTTCTCCTCCTAGTGTCCCCGGGAGGTCCACATGGGCCGGCATCATGGTCTCTAAAGATGACCACAATGCAGAGACCGAGGAAACCCAGACACAGCACCTAGAGCCAGACCCACGTGCACTCCAGTCCACTTCCACAACGGAGCACCCGAGACCTGGGTCGGGGGACAGAAGAACAGGGGCTACATCCAAATCTGCAGCCCAGCACGAGAGCATTCTTTCTGCAAGGATGCCTGATTTAGAGCCGTCTTTTTGCTTCCTTAACCCTCCGATGACCCTGTAAGGATCAGAGCCCTTGGAGGTGGGGACAGACCCAGCTCAAACTGCCCTCCAAGACCAGCTTCTTGGTTCAAAACGTCTTAGGAAGCAAGGTGGACGCTGGTGTTCCTTGAAAGGAAAATCCCGTCTCCAGCCTCTCCTCTTGAGTCCTCCCCCACCTCCTTGCTGGAACAGGATGAGATGTGAAGGATGCACAGGCGCTGAGCTGCTCTGAGTCCAGGCTAGGGAAGCCTTTCCTTAATCCTCCCCTGTTTGGTGACTTCTGGGCTGCCCACCGACTCACCCGGGGCCTCCCTTTCTCCACACCGTGTCTTTAAGCAGCCGCCCCAGGCTGAGGCCCCAGGACCCACAGGGGAGGCTCTCACCATCCCCGACTGGCCACTGCCCTCCCTCTCCTGCTGTCATGCGTCATCGTCCGATAGCAATTCCCTAGAGCAGGTGCCTCGTGAGCTGCCCGCAATGCAGACCTGCAGACCTGCAGACCCGGGAATCCCTCAACTCCGTCCCCATCATATCCAGTCCATCTCCAGTTTCACTCCTCCGATCTCTCTGGGATCCCTCCTCGTCTCTCCTGGGATAGCCTGGTCCAGCCTCCACCATCTCAGCGGGCACACCACACGCAGACAGAATGAGCTTTGCAGAAAGCAAATCAGACTCTGTCGCTCCCCTGCTCGATGCCCTCTGGGAAGCTCCTCCAGCTCTTGGGGTGACCCCCAAGCCCCCAACCTGGTCTCCCAGGCCCAAGAGGTTTGGTCCCAGCCGCCCAGCTCTCACCACCCCTTCCCACCACACTCCCCTCCCCAGGGGCCCAAAAGCTTGTTTCAATGCCCACCTTCTGGGCACTCAACGTTCCCTGATCGACTAAGGCCCCTTCCTCCACCCTTTAGGTGCCACTGCACCTGCGCCGCCCTAAAGAGCTCTGTCCTAACCTCAGATGCCCCAAGTACGGTAATGGGTCTCTCCTGCCTCTGACTATGGACTGTGGACTCAGGGCACGCCTTCTTGTCCTCTGGCCCCTGCCTACGCACTGTCCCCTCAGCAGAGGCAGCGCTCATGGGCAGAAGCCCGGCAACGCCTAAATTCCACTCTAAGAGCTGAAAACGCAACTCCTGGATCTGTTCTGGTTCCCACAGGGGACAGCTGAGCACCAAGCCACCTCGGGCCAGATTTGTTTTTTTGTTTGTTTTATAAATTTATTTTTTATTTACTATTTATTTATTTATTTTTGGCTGCATTGGTCTTCGTTGCTGCATGCGGGCTTTCTCTAGTGGTGGTGGGGGGCTGCTCTTCGTTGCAGTGCACAGGCTTCTCACTGCAGTGGCTTCTCTTGTTGTGGCGCACGGGCTCTAGGCGTGCGGGCTTCAGTAGTTACAGCACGTGGGCTCAGTAGTTGTGGCACACGGGCTTAGTTACTCTGCAGCATGTGGGATCTTCCCGGACCAGGGCTCGAACCCGTGTCCCCTGCATTGGTAGGCGGATTCTTAACCACTGTACCACCAGCGAAGTCCCCAGATTTGTTTTAAGGAATAATTACATACAGTAAAAGGCACATATCTTACATTTGGACCAATGTGTGCACCTGAGAAACCCACCCCCCAATCAGGATACCAGAGGTTTCCCTCGGGCCCCTCTCCAGCCCAACCTGTCTCCTCCTGGGCTGGCGGTGAGGATGGAAGAACCAAGCCCTTGGCCCTGGGTGGGCTCCACAGGCTCGGGGGAAGCAGGGTTTGCCAGGACCTCTGGGGTGTCATCCTCTCTTCACCTTAGCACACCTAGGGCCAGGAGACACCAGCCCCTCTAGCTCCAACCCACGGAAGGCTGGGTCCCTGGGGCCCGGCCAACTTCACAACTGGCCCAGTCTCATCCAGCCGTTTGGAAACAAGCCTCACAGACACATACATGCAGGCGTGTATATATACAGACACATGTTAGGTGTCACTAGGCTCTGGTCACCCTGCACCCTCTTCTTGTGATGCCTCCAACTCTAGGCCCTGACAAGCATGTCGTCTCCACGTTTGGGGGCCGCATCACCGCTCCCCCTGCCACCTCCCCTCTCCAGTAGCCGCCAGCCCCCAATGCTGCTCTGCCTTACTGCCCACCCAGGCCTCCCTCTGGGATTCCGCAGGCAGAACGAGGATTAAAAAGCAGCTGAGGGCCCTGCCCACCCCACACCTCTCACCATGCTTGGCCTCTCTGTGCTCCAGCCAGGCCCCCTCTGCCACTCGCACCACTCCCTGTGCCACAGGGTCTTTGCACGTGCAGTTCTGGTCTCTCTCTGCTTTGCCTAGTTAACTCCTGGGCACTCTCTCCTCAGGTCTCACCCCACAGGTCCGGGAGGAAGGCCTCTGCATTTTCTGGGGCAGCCTGAGGACCCCGTAGCCCCAACCCATAAACAGGTGAGGCCTGGAGTCTTCCTCAGGGCCCTGCAGCCCTGGCAGAACCAGAGCTGGGCGGTTCAGGCTCGTACAACTTGAAACCCGTCCAGGAGTCGCCACCCATGATACGACCTCAAGGAAGGGACATGCCTATTCCCTTCCTTCCTCTTTCTGCCAGTTCTCTCTGCTTCTCAGCGATCTTTGCAGACACAGGGTGTCAGGCCTGGGCCCCTGGTGTGTTTGTCCACAGGTTCTGGCAGCCTGGAGAGGGTGTGACCCCCTCACCCCCCCACCCCTGCACCTCTCCACCAAGCCTCAGACACAGTGATCTCCATGAGGATATGTGAGTCTTTCAACTCCAGTGACACTAGACATTTGGGGACATGAGCTCTGGCGTCAGCCTCAGCTTTGGGATACTGTCCATGGTGCCTCTCTCTGCCTCAGTCTGTAAGCCAGGGTGCTGTGCGTAACGACAGCTACCCCGGCTCTTTAACATACCTCATCTCAGCACAGCCTCACAGCAACCCTGAGAGGCAGGTGCTATTATTACCTCCGTTCTATATGTGAGAAAACCGAGGCAGCCTCCAAGAGGGGCCGCAGTGACCCTGCCTCCTGGTATTCATGCCCCAGGTAGTCCCCTTTCCAAGTGCGAGGTGGCCCAGTGACTTCTGATGAGGACAATACAGCGAAAGTCATGGCATGTTATCTGCAAGATGAAGTTACCAAAAGATGGTGTTTTCCCTCTCAGGTGCCCAATCTCTCTCTCTCTCTCATTGGAACAGCTTACTCTGGAGGAAGCCAGCTGCCAGGTGTGGTAGCCCTGGTGACTGGTCCATGAGATGCCTCCAGCCAATAGCCAGGACAGTGAGCTCGGAAGCAGAGCCTCCCCCAATCGAGCCTTCAGGTGAATGTAGCCCCAGCTGACCCACCCTGAGCCTGAGAACCCAGATCCCTGACTCTCAAAAATGGTTAGCCAATAAATATATATTGTTTCAAACTGCTAAGTTTGGGGGTAATTTGTTTCACAGCCACAGCTAACTAATACAGAGGCCTAGAGAGATTGAGTGAGCTGTCCCAAGTCACCCAGCCATGAATCCAGGACTGCCAGACCCTGGACCTGTGGCTTGTAGCTCCTACCTGACAAAGCCCCCTCTTCTCTGCGTCAGCTTAAGGGGCTGTTCCGAGCACACGAGTCATGCAAGAAGTTACAAGGGCAAATGCTCCCCCAAAGTCACCCACCATCGGCAGCTCCAGGAGAAAGGCCCACCTGTTGTCGAAGAAGGCACGGACGATTTTGGATCTGATCGGGTTGAGCTCCAGGTCAGGGATGTTGTTGAAGTTCTCCTTGCTGGGTACCAAGGAGGGGGCGCACCGGGGAAAGAGTGAGAAAAGAAAGCAGACGTCAGAGAGCATGTTCATCGCTTCTCAAGCTGTGTCTTTTTATCCTGAGCAGACTCCACACGAACAGTCCAGAATATGACAAGCCTGGAATATGCTGCACTGGTCTGTCTCCTCCTCTAACCTCTGGACTGCCAGGACCACAGAGGGTCTGGAGGCTCAGAGATGCCCCTGTGAATCTGATAAACGTCCCAGACATCCACCCCCAGGAAGATGCAGCAACACAAGATCTGCACCCCATTCCGAGCGGTCAGAGAACCCAGGTAGGGAAACCCTCAGTTGGCCCTTCTGGAATCAGAGAAGCAGGATGCTGGCTTGGAGCTTTGGAAGACGGTGTGGCAGGTCCTCAACAAATGAGAAACATGGAGTTACCATGTCACCCAGGGATTCCACTCCTAGGTATATACCTGGGTATGTCCCTAGAGAAATGAAAACACTCATCCACATAAAAATTTGCCCATGAATATTCATAGAAGCATTCTTCCTAACAGCCATAAAGTAGAAACACCCCAAATGTCTACCAGCAGATAACTGGATAAATATGGTCTATCCATATAAGAGAATATTATTCAGCCATAGAAAGGAATGAAATACAGATACAGGCTACAACACGGACGGACCTTAAAGACACAGTGCTAAGTGAAAGAAGGCAGACACAAAAGACCACATAGTGTATGATTTCATTCATATGAAATGTTCAGAATAAATCAATCCATAGAGACAGAAAGTAGCTTAGTGACTGCCAGGGGCTGGGGGATTGGGAGTGATGGGGAATGGGGATGGTGTCTAAAGGTATGGGAATTCTTCTGGGGATGATGAAAATGTTGTAAAATTGACTGTGGTGATGGATGCATAACTCTGTAAACATACTAAAAGCCATTGCATTGCACATCTTAGTGGGTGAATTGTAGGATATGTGAACTGTATTTCAGTAAAGCTGTTTAAAAAAAGAGAGAGAGGGACCTCCCTGGTCGTCCAGTGGTTAAGACTCCACGCTTCCACCGCAGGGGGTGTGGGTTCCATCCCTGGTCTCCCTGCTCTGGGAACAGGATCCTGCATGCCAAACAGTAGCACGGCCAGAAAAAAGAGAGAGGGAGGAGAAATGCTTGCAGGAGAGGGTGAATTTCAAACACAGACACCCTGTTGCTGCGCACAGGTGTTGCTGGGTCCTAGAGGCTGTGGGTTTGCAGGCGTGGAGGCAGGCAAGTCCCTCATCTACCTGACCTTCCCGCATAAGGCCATCCTTTGTTCTCGGAATCTGCTTCCAGCTCCCTGGACTTCAACGGGCAGTGGCCTTGGAAGGAACCCAGGGCACAGGCTGGTAATTCCGGTGAACAAGGGGGCACGCCCAGTGGGGAGAGGAGGAAGGATATTAGCCACTTAAAACGAGGATGTCCAGGAGCCCTCAGATTCAGAACTTGAAACTAGAACCAACCCATGCTGGGAAGGAGGAAGTGCCATGTACACGGAGAATTCAGCACCGTCAGAGTTGGAAGGTTCTGTAATGACACAGCTGACCCGTCCTGCCCCCATCTTACAGATGGGGATGCTGAGGCTCAGGGAGGAGAAGCAGGACCTGCCTGGGGCCCCGACGCCTCCGTGTTCTCTCCATCTCTGTGTGTCTCCGCCTCTCCCCATCCCCCAGCGCTCCCAGCTTGGCTTGCTTGCAGCACTTGGCCAAACTCAGGAGCCGGAGTCAGTGGACGCCAACATTTTAGATTCCTGAGAGCCCAGTTCTAAAGGGGGCGACACAAAGCAGCTGGCCTGCAGCAATGGAATACTTATTTGGCCATAAGAAAGGAATGCAGTACTGACTCATGCTACAACACAGATGAACCTTACAAGCATGAACCTTATTTCACCACTTAGCAGTGAAAGAAGACACACAAAAGGCCACACAGTGTATGATTCCATTTATATGAAATGTCCAGAATGAGCAAACCCATAGAGACAGAAAGCAGACTGGTGGGTGCCAGGGGCCGGGGGATAGTTAATGGCTCATAGGCACAGGTTTTCTTTTGGGGGTGATGAAAACATTCTAAAATTGACTGTAGACTTCAAGTGGGCGAAGTGTGTCGCATGTGAATTATATCTCAATGAGGCTGTTTTAAAATATCCCTAAGCTATTTTTAAAAACCAAAAAGCAAAGAACCACTGCACTATCGCTCCATCGATATAAAGAACAAAAAGCGAGGCGCTAACCTGTGCGGGTTCACGGTCAGCTATCGCCGGGAATGCTGACTAGGAAGGAGCAGGAGGGAGCTCTTGGGGCTGAGGATGTTCTGCCCTTGCTCTGGGTTTGGGGTCACGGGTGTGTTCAGTCTGTGAAAGATCATCTCACCGCCCCCGTCCCTTTTCCCCATGCACATGACAGTCGCCCGACACTGGCACAGGCCCCCATCCTGCCCTCCTTCCTCGTGAGTGGGAAGCAGCCACAGGAGGAAACAGAAAACCCAGAGCCCCCTGGATGGGAACAGGTCAAGTTAAAGGGGCCACGTGGAGCTTGAGAGGGGATTTGGGGAGAAGGGAAAGGAAGCGAGAAGCTGCTAGTTGGCCGGAGACCCCCAAGCCCTCTCTGGCTTTCACTGGCCAGGGGTCTTGGCTACTGCTATCTCTTCCTCAGCCTTAGTCTCCTCATCTGTGAAGTGGGCACAGCCTCTGGAGCCAGACTTGGGTTCTACCAGCTCTGATACCTGGGACAAGTGACTTAGCCTCTCTGAGCCTCCGTTTGCTCCTCTACACACAGGAGCCTCGGGCGGCTGTCGCTCTCAGCACGGTGCCTGGCGAAGAGCAAGGGCTCCATGGATGGAGGCCTTCAGGCATCCGAGAGCACGGGGACGGGACTCTCGTCTCCACGGCACCACAGCCTCAAGGCCTCGCACAACTGAGGGCTGCGCAGGGGCTCAAAACACGGTGTGTGGACCAAACAGCTGAGCAGAAGGGACGGCGGGTATGGGCAGGGCACCTGGCCCCCAGGCTCTGCTCCTTCCCCAGCCATCCACACCCTTTGGTGCCCCCAGGAGTCAGTCTGCAGATCCTTGGAGAGCATCACAACCCCACTCTGCCTTGCCGAGTCCTGGATGGGGCTCTCAGAGGAGCTTTGTCCCAGGGCTGCTGGAAGGACCACATTTGGGGAAGTAGATCTGATTAATTCCCCAGGAGGGAAGAGAGGCCAAAAATGGGGATGCTGCAGGTTCTGGCGGCACTGGGAGACACCCGGTCCCCATGCTTGTGAAGGTGGCAAGAAGGGCCCCCCGGCACTATGACATCCTACAAAGGGCCAGAGGGACCCTGGCTGACTTGGGAGGGAGAGCAGACAGCAAGGTCCCAGGAGGAGGACAGAGGGAGAAGGACCTCGAAGAGCCTGACTGTGTGTCTGGAGGAGAAAATTAACAACAAAGAAGAGGTCTGACCTCCCAGAGGTGAGGCAGGTGCCAGGAATCGAACTGGGGACACAGTGTCTTTGGGTCCTGGCCGCACAGCCCCTGGCAGGTCTGTGCAGGTGTCTTTGAAGCCTAGCTGCCTTTCTCCAGAAGCTAGAACCACACTGTCCCTCACCACGGGCACCTTACTGACTCTCCAAGGCTCAGTTTCCTCATCTGTGAATTGCGTACAGACCAAGCACCACCCCCCAATATCAAAGGGGAAGTGAAGTCAAGTACACCTGGGGGCCGGTCCAGGCTCTGCTCCTGACCAGGCATGTGGCCCTGGGTGAGCCACTGCATGTCCCAGAGCCTTGATTTCTCATCTGTAAAATGGGGATTGTGGGAATATCCCAGCAGGATCATGGGGTTAATGAAATGATTGAATGAGATAAACACAGGTAAGGTGCTTAGCATAATGCCTGACACGTAGTGAGATTGTCATTTTAAAATGATGATGGTGATAATTATAACAGCAGCAGCAGCTGACCTTCTATATACTCCCAAGGTGTCAGGTACTGTTCTGAGAGCTCTATATTATTATCCTACAAGGTAAGAACATATTTCCACCTTACAGATGAGGAAACCGAGGCAGAGAGGTGAAGAAATGTCTTACTGCTAAGAACAATACCCCTGACTTAGGTGGCACACGGAAGCTCTAGCCCGGGAGCAGCTTCTCCTAAGGGGCGTGGGGAGGGTACCAAGACTTTCCTGCCAGGATTTTTTGTGCAAAGGCATGGGGATGGGAGAACCACCTGGTGCCAAGTAGGGAATTCTTGGGAATTCCCTGGCCGTCCAGTGGTTAGGACTCAGTGCTTTCACTGTCATGGCCCGGGTTCAATCCCTGGTTGAGGAACTAAGATCCTGCAAACCATGTGGTGCAGCCCAAAAAAAAAAAAAAAAAAAAAAAAAGCAGGGAGAGAGAGTAGACAGCAGAAGCAAGAAGAACTACAATCCTGCAGCCTGTGGAACAAAAACCACATTCACAGGGAAGACAGACAAGATGGAAAGGCAGAGGACTATGTACCAGATGAAGGAACAAGATAAAACCCCAGAAAAACAGCTAAATGAAGTGGAGATAGGCAACCTTCCAGAAAAAGAATTCAGAGTAATGATAGTGAAAATGACCCAGGACCTCGGAAAAACAATGGAGGCAAAGATCGAGAAGATGCAAGAGATGTTTAACAAAGACCTAGAAGAAATAAAGAACAAACAAACAGAGATGAACAATACAATAACTGAAATGAAAACTACACTAGAAGGAATCAATAGCAGAATAACTGAGGCAGAAGAACAGATAAGTGACCTGGAAGACAGAATGGTGGAATTCACTGCTGCAGAACAGAAAAAGAAAAAAAGAATGAAAAGAAATGAAGACAGCCTAAGAGACCTCTGGGACAACATTAAATGCAACAACATTAAATTCGCGTTACAGGGGTCCCAGAAGGAGAAGGGAGAGAGAAAGGACCTGAGAAAATATTTGAAGAGATTGTAGTCGAAAACTTCCCCAACATGGGAAAGTTTTTAG